TGTATTAATTTCACATAAATCATGCTTTTTATGATTTTCAATAACACATATTTTACATATTGGTGCATCACATTCCTTGCAGTAGTATATAAAGTTTTCATCATGTTCATTACAGTATTGTTTAACTTCCGGGTTAATGTTAGAACCACTTTGAAATGTGTGATTTTTTGTCATCTTTGTCCGTAAATGAGATATTTTACATCCATCACAAAACAACTGGTCACATTCTTGACAGTAGTTATGTCCAGGACTTGAAACACAAATTTCACAAGTTTTAAAAGCTACCTGCGCCATTTTTTGTCTATTTTGTTTACCTGTAGTTATGTATGACACTGTAAATTTAAATCCCTGTATTATTATACGGATATGGATACAAATTTCCGGAACATACCTTTATAATTGGTTGGTTTAAGGTAAAAATAGAGCTTTAACAAGTTCTACCTTTTATTGGATTGATAAATATATTTTCTGCTACTATTGTTTTTTTTTTTTATCTATATATATATTACATATAATTTTATATTTCAAAATGAAATAGGTATGATTTACAATCAATATTGTTTTGTTCACTTTTTTATGTTTATATATGATTCAATTGGTAACTTTTCAAATGAAATGAATTATGGTGAATACGTTAATACAACAATAAGAAGATTTAAAAAGTGATACTTGTATATACTTCCTACAATAGAAATAAGCCGTTACTATTTATAGGACTTTATTTGTTCAATTGATTGCTATCGATTTACTTATCATTTCATTTCGCATTTAATTCAATTCTGAATAACTTTGGGATATCGTTTCAAATAAAAATTATACATTGAAGGTATGCAAAGTAGAGTTGTTGTTATTGCCTGGGTTGTAAACTTGTCTTGCTATAATTTACATATGTATATATATTTGGTTATCCATATTTTCGCTCCATTAAATTAAGGCTTGGAAATCTTATATATTTTCAAAAGTACTTCATTGCACATTTTTTAATGTAGTATTATCTCGAAATAGAAGTTCCTTGCTAATATAAGTTCCAAATGGAAAAAATATTCTGGAATATTATCCACTGGAATAAATATAACAGTACATATTCCTAACGAATAAAGGGTAAAGAATATTTGTTCCAACAGGAAAAGATATTACGACACTTTTAATAACAGAGATTCAAATGGAACTTCTGTTAGTTGATGCAATTTAGAAGTCTCTCATTATTCTGTATAGAATAGCTCTCATTTGATGCAGTATTATTTTACAATTTATAAATATCGATTGTACTTGTTTAGAGATGAGACTTTAATCAAACATTGAATTGAATTGAATTGCGATACATGAATCCGAACAATTGAATGTGTATGTAACAGGTAATACAGTTGTTTACCATATGTTTACCTGTTTAAGGGATAATGTAACAGGTAACTGTTTATAAATGATAATATGACAGGTGTCAACAACACACACATATCGATCTATTTAAATACTTCAGTGTTTTTTATGTTTGTTAGCACATACTTACAACTTCTCGTCCAATCAAATTGCTTATATTTGCCTTCTAATTTTCATAGTACATACTTTTCCCGTGTACTAAGTAAACACACGAATGACCACAAGGGTAAGATTTCATTGTATCATAATGAAGATATTTAAATCAAAAATTGCCGCTGGCTGTTTTGAAATAAAATGCTGTGTTCCAAATTAAATTAAATAGTTTGTAATTAGTTTTCACGTTGATTTTTAAATATCCTGCTATTAAAATCTTTGGATCTAAAAAATGTTTTTGATAATTGCTATTTCTTTCATTTAAATAAAGGGTAATACATATGGTTCTTTATACCTTGATTAGAGTACAACGATATCTTAAAATTATGATAATGTAATAATGTATCATCCATGCAATTACTTTGTACACAAAAAAGTGTGTACTATGAAACCTTCTGAAGGGAAATTAAAGCAACTTGGTGATAATTTTTTAAACTTTCTTAAGGAAGGTGATCTATTTCGTCATGAATTGATTGATTTATTGATTATCGGTTGCTTAATTTCCAGTGGCAAATATTTCATGCATGTTCAGGACGATGTCATGAATTGAAAAATTGTGATTATGTCTGAAGATAATGTGCCAATTATATATATAAACATATTCTGATAAATCTTTTAGTTTTTACTTTGAAATAATAAAAAAAAAAAAAAAACACACAAAACCTATAATCTCTGATCTATTGATAGTTGCTTTTTAATGCCTATCTGCTAGACTATATCTATGGGGACAAACTATCTATATGTTTCAAATTTATTATAGCTTTAGTTTTTAGTGAAATTAAAAAATGTTTTCAAAACATGTAAAGCTTCCACTGCAATTTAATTATTGCCTGCTTTTGGTCAATTTATTTGGTCATCTTACCATGTAAGAAGAACATGTATAGTGAAACACCACTTTATATCAATATACATACTTACACCAGCAGCTGCCATCTTTTCATTCTGGAGTCAAGGGCCTTTTGAAATCACATATTTTACAATGATACTAGTGAGTAGATTTACAAAACTTCGTTAATGAGCTCCGTTTTACAAACACCTGTGATACAAGTAGTCAGCCAAAATAAACTATCAATAGACCAATTAAAAGATTACTCGAGTTGTAAATATGTGCTAAATTGGATAGTCTATGAAAAGGTATATACTATGAAATTAAGAGCTCGGGGCAAGCCCCTCGCTCTAAATTTCATAGTATATACCTTTTTATAGACTAACCTAGACATCTTTTATGTATGAATTTGTTAATGTTATGAGTTAAAAGTATAATATATTGATTCACGACGACAATAAGATCAGTAACTTGAAACTGAATATAATATCTAAAGTAATAAGTTATGACGATATCTGTATCTATACAATAAAATAAAAAAAGCGCCATAGAAAACAAAATCGCACCACAATTTGTTTTCTTAGCTCTGTTTTCTTTTATATAAGTCAATACAAACGAATATCCAGTGACTTTTTTCTTTTCCTCTGATTTTTTTTCCATATTATCATGTCACTGAACGGAGTTTGGGGCATTGTTTTTATATACGTCTCTTTTTTTTTTTGTTATTATTATTATGATATCCTAAATGGAGTTCGGATGATATATCGTTATTCCACGTACGTTTCTTTTTTTTTTCTTAACATGGTACCCTGGTCGTAGTCATGGTAGTTGGGGCGAACTATTTTCTTCTTCCTGCTTATGGTAAGAATTTGAGTAATGAGTGAGCAGATCATGACATATTTTCAGAGGATGTATAATTGGCAACGGTAAATAAAAGCAACAGTAGTATACCTGTGATCAAAGGTCATAAATAGATTGAGAGAAAACAAATCCGAGTTACAAATTAAAACCGAGGGAAACACATCAACTACTGTGGATTCATTTATTTTCGTGGGTACCAATTTTCGTGGATTGAGGAATTCCTGCATTTTCGTAGATATTTGATTTCGTGGTTTTGCCAAAGTCTGCAAACGTTTTTATAGTAAATTTGTAATTCGTTGTACATTGGAATTCGTGGTTCCCTGGTTATCACGAAATCCACAAAAATTGGTATCCAACGAATAATAATGAATCCACAGTATCAGAGGAAAATAAAGGAACAATAGGAATACTGAAGAGCAACAAAACGAACACAAACATACATAGAAAATAACTATTTGATAACAACTGCAATACTCCTGAGATAGTACAGGATATTTTAAGAAAAATTATGGGTTGAACCTGGTTTAATGGTTTTGTCTTGGAAGCACTACAACATCTTATGAAGGCGATTAGTTTCACATTTAGTTTTTCGTTATTTCTTTAATATTTATAGCGGGTACTGCAGGTAGGTAGGTAGACGTTTACATTAACGATGCGCCTTAAAAGTTTTCCCTTTTTATCATTAATTCATGCGATTCTTTCGGTTTATGTTTGATTCCTTGATTTATCTGTTCCTAGTTTTCTATGTTGTCTTCAAGTTGTTTATCTGATTTGTCATGGTGTTGTCTTGTAGCTTATCATCGACGTAAGAATATCCTTTTTGCAATCATGAATAATGAAAATTTGCAGCAGTTGATTTTCGATGATAAGCTTGCAATTGGTAATCATACATATATCATCAGAACTTTAGAGAACATCAAGAAACGGATTCGACTTCCTAAAATAAAATATTTATGCTTAGACCATGAAAAAAAAATAATAAGCTTTTGTTTTGTACCCGTGCTCTTTTTTGTGGAAGCACGTATCATTACGAATGTGATATTCATTTCAATATGAAGGTTAATTTTAGAATCACACGCGATTATTGTTAGCAAATTAAACTATCGGATTCACATGAAACATACATGCAATATAATTTTTCAGTAAAAGATGTACAAATTTTAAGCTAACTTTTGTTGACTGGTCAAATGCCAAAACAAACGCCCACAAGTTCGGATGTGTTCAACATTTTTTGGGAGGTAAACAGTTTATAAGTGAAAAGTTGGAATAAAGTTTAAATTAATTTCAATTGGCAATGGATTCTTGGAAAAATTATCTAATAGACTGACGTGAGAAAAATGAGTTAAATAGGAAACCCCCTGATTTATACTATTTTGTACTTTTCATAACATTTAATAACGTCATTCTGGTAATCCGAGTTTCTTTGAAACAGTGTATAACGGTTCTCTGTTTCTTCAGAAATAATTTCTTTTTTGCATGTTTAAATGATTGTGCTATTTTCCAATTTTTTGTATGTTCTGTTATCCATAGAATTTACCGGTTTCCTTTATTGACAATGGAAATTTATCATTTAAATGATCCCTTAAACATGCAATGCAAATGTTCATTAATGATAAAAAAAGTACAGATTTCAGAAATTATACATTTTTTTTTAATCCCAGAATGAAATATATCATTGCATTAACTGACATATCTTACAAAATGCATAACATCTTCAGGAAACAGAAAACAAAATAACAATACTGTAAAATAATATATCTGTTTTATTGATCCATATCTTATTCTGTCTATGCTTTTCGGATTATCATTGTTGTTGTCTTCAGAGAGTAGTAGTATCCTTTCCAACTGTGCCACTCAATACCATTTGCAAACGAATTGTGGTTTCTTTTCAAATATAGACCGTTTAGATTGCTAAGATGACAATGTCCGTACCACCATCCTCCCTTGTATGCATTTGCGCATCCACTTCTGTTATCTTTGTCTTTTGTTGTGAACTTATCCCCATTGTGGAAGGTGAATGAATCTCCTGTTCAATTATAAAATTATTGACCATTCAAGTAGCAGACTAACAACTACTCCTTATGATAACGAACATTAAAATTCATTGGGCATCTCAACCCGCATAATTTCAAAAATACAACCGACGTTGCAATTTCAATTGATCAATTAGAACATGGCTCTGTTTCCAAAGCGAAAGAAGAACACCATATCATAATTGGTAGTATAACAGAAAACTCCCAAACCAAACAACAAAAATTATGAAAGGGTAATTTAGTAACAAATCAATCAATCAATAAACGGATTATGATAATAGATACAGTAAGCAAGAAATGTAAAATGACACTCACCTGCAGTGCCAAAATGACCTGCCACCGTTAGCTTTTCGAATTGATTATAATTTGCATATCTTGAATTATTCTCAAAATCTTGCATATCTACACACAGTTTGTACTTTCCCTGAGATGTGATCTGATGCAGGTGGTCATTACCTGTATAATGAGTAATTATTTGATATCAAATAAAATATATAAATATACAACGGACAGATCTAGAGCTAACTTTTTGAAAAAGTAACATGTTTTTTATGTACAATTAAATTGATTTGAGTATCAAAGGATTTAAATCTTCAGAAGAAGCTTCTCAAAATGAAAGGGAAATTAAGAGAATTACGGCATTGGTCAACATCTAATGAACCACATCTTTATGCCGGAGTTTGCTAGCTGATAAAACGCCATGAGGTGTAATACCACCAAATCATATTCACATCCGGTTGCATACGATAAATGGTCGAAAAAAATATTCCCGTGAATTTGAAAGTTGTAGGAAATTAATCCTACATTTCATTGCAGTAAAAAAAACTCTGGGTCATAAAATTATATCTCAGGTGTTCCTAGGCACCATTATTTTCTTATTTGGCGTTTCTATAGAATATTGTGGAAACTAGAGGTTAAATGGTAACAAAAGCTTGCACACAGGTACAAAAGATGTGAAAATTTGATTGTTTAACATCAGTGACGGTTATTCATCTTTATGCGATGAAATGTTATGTGAATATTTGTTCTATAGTACTGGACAGGATAAAACTTTACTCATGCCAAGAATTTCTTTATTTGAAACAAAGATAAATTCTGCACAATTTTTTTGAAAAGTGCAAATATAACAAAAGACTAGTAGGGGAAAATCAATGTTGTTATTACACCTTTACTTTATTTCATCCATATGGTGTATATGCTCGACACAAAAAAAGATGGGTACCTTTTCTACAAATAATTATGCTCCGAAAATGTTTAAAGCCTGCGTTTTCATAGAATATCAATATAGTGCAATATATATATCGAATAATCAGTATACAGTACCTAACCAACATTCTCCATCTACTTTTCCAAAACCATTCTTGTACGACTCCCAGTCTAGGTAAAAATTCAACTTCCCATCCTAACGATGTTGAAAAACCTATAAATCAATATGTACAATTAGTTTGATGCAAAGAAAACGAATTTTTAGAGATAATGTCATTTCCCCCAAGCAGTCGCTTTACAATTGACACATTATGGTTAAAAGTCTCACGATCCTTACTTAGACAGAGTGTTTGTGTGTGTTTCATTTTAAGCGATTAAGTTTAACATATCAATATATTTGTGTATTTTTTTTTTAATTTTGCACATTTACAGATCGTTGATAGTGAGCTTAACTGAAAAAAAAGAAATGTGTTTCTTTATTTGATTATTTTATTTTTTTTGTGTTGTTGTTGGTTGGTTTTATTTTTTTTTGAGGGGGGGGGGGAGGGTTGGAGAGTATAAGATTCAGGTTTTTAGAAAAATTAATGTCATTTCATAGCCATCAACATGATCAATGGAGGGTGAATTCTTAAATTTAAAATAAAATCAACCGAATAAACTAAACATAATTGATAACAACTAACAGTCCATCCTCCGCCATGTTTTTCCATTTCACAGAAAACGTTAAATCCAGGCGTTTTATTGTGGTATATCTTGTAGATTCCACTTTTACAAGTCGACTTGTCCAAGTCACTACAGTCATTTGGTCTTTTCACTGAAACAACAAAAGTTAGTGTTTATATGAATGAAGCATTCAAAATTATCCAGGTTTTAGACCAGTGTGGTTTTTGATTTGCTTCAATTTAATGACTGTCAAAATTGATTTCCGATTTATTATTTCAGAATAAGTCCGGCCTTTATTTTTTTTAGAAAAGATTGTCCTATAGCTCTTGCGACTATATATATATATATATATATATATAACGTCAATATTGTAGGATCCCTCGGAACATGGTAAATTTATTTTTAACCGATTTAATACTCCTTCGGCTATAGAGCATTGAGGACTAAAACTTCCAAAAAGTTTTGCCAAATACGGCTAAGATAATCTATGACTGGGGTAAGAAAATCCTTAGTATTTCGAATAATTCATTCTTTTGCAAATAATTAATATATAAAAATGTATCAAGCTACTTTATATGAGGTTTTAATTGAAATCTAGCTGCGGAACCATAACTCTTTTTGTCCTTATTATATTTTTTTTAATTTTTGCGGAACACATGTAGCTATGCATGGTCTGTAAATTGTCAAAAAATGTAAAAAGGACCGAAGAACTAATATTCCGCAGATAAATGATATCATGACTGTTCAAGTATAGTAACGGATACTTCAGGAGAGATAAACAGACATACAAAAGAATTTCAAATGTTTGGAGCTGGAAAGCGGAGAGTGTATAATACTGATAATTCTGAATTCCAGAGCAAGTTGTTGTTTCTTCAGTTGTAAAGGTCTTTGTTTTCTCTGTTGTAGTTTCTTCAGTTGTAAAGGTCTTTGGTTTCTCCGTTGTAGTTTCTTCAGTTGTAAAGGTCTTTGGTTTCTCTGTTGAGGTTTCTGCAGTTTTCGCGGTCTTTGTCTCCTCTGTTGGTTTTTCTTTAGTTGTCTTCTTTTTGCAGGCACAGCTGTCGGACAGTAGTTCAACAATCTTGTCTGCCGTTTTCCCAAAAATGTAACACCTGGAAATTAAAGTATCATTACTTTGCCTGGGCTATAATTCCTATTAATATACATGTATAATGACTGGCATTAGCTAAGTTTTCTCTACGACTTTTGAAGAAAAAAAATTTGTCTATCGGTTTCCGGATTGAGACTAAACATTTTCACTGTTTTTTATTGTTGTTTAAATCATGTGAAAAGACTAATACCACCCCCCTAATCCTAAATACTTCCACTTCCTTCCCATTAACCCTATGACGACAATTGGCAAACAAATTTTTCTAACATATCCTTATGTTGTATCGCCCACTGATCCTGGTTTTCACCACCTAGACTCACCGGCTTCCCACCAGCTATCATTCCCTACAAATGTAGCTGTCCCTTGACCCCTGTCCCCTCTTTATCAGTGGTAGATCTATAAATGTTCATAATGAGAGGGGGCATGGACTGCCTTAGAGGGTCCGCGCCAGTCATGCTTCAGTGTTTCTCTATGTATAGTCATTGATTTTTCCCACAAAATCGGAGTGAGCACACTAGCCCCCCTCCTTAATCTACCTCTTTTCATAATTAATACTGAATTATGTAATATTGGTATAAAAAAATAATATAAACATATTAGTCTTTATCTTTTGCATTATACATTTTATAAAGCAATTAATTTTCCACCGACATAAAATTTGAAGCTTATAAAAACATATTTACGTTTTACCTCTACATTTAACTTCGATAATGAACTTTAAATAATCATTAGATATACTAAAATTAATACTCCGATATTTTTATGAATCAATTAATTGAAATGGTACGATTTAAAATGGATTAAGAAACAACTCACAAACAACTACAGGCAATTTGTTTTCTATACACTATGAGTGCATATCTTTCTAACCAAAGTTTGGTAAACGTTGTGTGCCGTTTGATGTAGTTTGTTAAACGTTACAAAAGTAGAAACAAATGCATCGTTTAATCAGAGTTTACTGACCCTGTTTGAACTGTCAAAAATGCATGCACATTTGAACTTATTACGCGGGGAACACAGCCGCAGTAGAAAATGTTATAGACGACACAGGGAACATCGCTCTTCTATGCATATCTAATTTTATTTTATTTCACTAACAAACGACGAACGGCAAACCGTAGACGCATTTGCAGCGAGTGTATAGTTTGTCAAAGTTTATGCAGGTCCTCAATGCTCATCAACCTCGTACATTATTTGGCCTTTTAACATTTTTTTATTCGAGCGTCACTGATGAGTCTTTTGTAGACGAAACGCGCGTCTGGCGTAAATATAAAATTTCAATCCTGGTATCTATAATGAGTTTATTTACAACCACTGGGTCGATGCCACTGCTGGTGGAGTTTTAATTCCCCGAGAGTATCACCAGCCCAGTAGTCAGCACTTCTGTGCTGACATGAATTATCATTGATACGGTCATATTTATAAATTAACTGTTTACAAAACTTTTAGGAAATTTTGGTCACCAATGCTCTTCAACCTCGTACATTATTTGGCCTTTTTAACATTTTTTTATTCGAGCTTCACTGATGAGTTTTTTGTAGACGAAACGCGCCTCTGGCGTAACATAAAATTTCAATCTTGGTGTCTATGATGAGTTTGTTTGCAAATGATAATCTGGCGCAATACCCTACATGGCAGTCGTCATTAACCCAAAATTATATTAGATTAGATAATATTAGAAATTACATAATTAAAAATTAACCTATCAGACTAATGATCTGTATTAGCCATAGAGGCTCCAATAACCAGAATCATCACTGTGATTGTATATCTAGTCATAATTGACTGTAGTGTAAACAATAAAGTTTAATTGCTTTCTCAATTGATACCGTATATAACCAAAATGATATCCTCATCTTAATTAAAAACCTTCTGCTACATACATTGACATAATTCATGTAATTGCAGGTATGAAATATCATATCAATTAATTTTCTTTTGGCGTGACAGTTAAATTGTTGATATCTGCATTTAACACGTAATAAGGATTAAAAGAACCGTAAATGTCTAGTACTAACTGATTCTTAAGGGTATCATAACATATGGATGAGGTATTAAAAAATGATGCATATCTACTTCATATAATTCTTGATACAATCTAAGACATGTATATGATTCTGGTAAAACTCAAATTAAAGATTTTATTAATTGTTAATACTGGTTATATATTATAAATTAATATTATCAGAATCACAAAACGGTTTACAATCTGCTTTGAATAAACTGGAAAAATATTGCTACAAATGGCAACTGACTGTAAATACAAGTAAAACAAAATTTATGATTTTTCATTCTAGAAATTCTTTTGAGTCAAATTTTTTTTATAAACAAAATCAGTTAACTGAAGTTTAAGAGTATAATTTTCTTGGGAACATTATTGATAATAAAGGAAAATTTAAGAGATCTACACATGAACTATCCAAGAAAGCGCTTAAAGCGTTATTTTCACTAAAAAAATATATGTCTAACTTTCATCATGTCCCTGTTGATTTATCATGTAAATTATTTGATTCACTAATTAAACCCATAATTTTATATAATAGCGAGATCTAGTTTATGGAAGATTATCACTCAATTTTTAGAGCCATAAATAGAGCCACTTTGCATGGAACTAACTGTGATACTTTATCATTGACAGATAGATTCAGCTTTGAGAAAGTGCATCATAAATGTAAAACTGTTCTTGGAATTAAAAAAATCTCATGTAATATAGCTGCAAAGTCTGAGTTAGGACGATTTCCACTTGACTCCTTTATAAAAACTCAAGTTTTATTATATTTTTGTAGAATTAATAGCCATGAAATAAACCCTCTAGTTAAAGAAGCCTTTGCAGTAAATAAGTCTATATCTGAAGATGGAATATATACTAACTTGGTATACTTTGCCAAGCATATTTTTAAAGAATTTAATATTGATGAAGAAGAATATGTTGATTTTGATAAACCTTTTAAACTTATAAAAAATTCACTGAAAAAAACTTTTAAATATATTGTGAAGGAAAAGTATAATAACATCACTCTTGAAAAAAACTTTCAAATATCGATAACAGTTCAAAACTTTATCTTTATAGTAAACTTAAAAATGAAATTAAATTGGAAGACTACTTGCACAATCTAAACAATTTTAATAGTCGTCAATTTTTAACAAAATTACGTGTAAGTGACCATAATTTGGAAATTGAATTAGGACGTTATAAAAAAATTCAAAGAGAACACAGACTGTGCAAAGTTTGTAAAATTTTAGATGATGAGGAACAATTTTTTCCTTCATTGCCAAATTAACAGTAATGTTAGAAATCCCCTTATAATTGCAATTAAAACCCATTATCATAATTTTAACCAGCTTGACTCAAACTCTAAACTTAAAACTATTCTAGGTCCCAATAAAGATATTTTGTCTAGTGTTGTAGACTATATGAAGCAATCTATGGAATTGCGAAAATAAGGTCCACATTGGTCAATTATATACTGATATAATATATATATTATTAATATCAACTTGACTTGTTTAAAACATTTATCATGTATTATATTTCTTGTCACTTGTGTATACAATGTACTATGTTTGCAATTTAACCTGTCATGGTTTCATGTTTTGCAATAAAGTTATATATATATATAAACAAAAGTGTTTTTTTTTTCAAAGTTCATCCTATAATACATTAATATATATCCTTTCCAATAGAGATGGGTAGAATAATTGATTTTAAGATATAAGACATACAACAATAATTCATAAATCATTTCGTCTTACTCATTGTCAGTCAGGAAAGGGCATAGGCGGATCCAGGGGGGGCCTGGGGGGCCGCCCCCCCCCCCCTTTTCGTGGGAAAAATTTGGTTGATTATATAGGGAATCACTGAAGCATGACTGAAGCGCCCCCCCCCCCCCCCCTTAGGTCAGTCAGCATCCCCCCCCCCCCCCCTTATGAAAAGTTCAGGATCCGCCACTGAAGGGATTCACTCTAATCTAACAGTTATTTATATTATATTTTTAATAAGCAGTTATTACTTAAAAACTTCTATTTCTGAAGATTCCATCAGGGGTGTGTGATTGAATATAGACAGTAGTTATAACAATTTAGTAACGTCACAGACAAAAAATGAAATCGCCGCTTCTAAGACGTCCAAGTTTATTTAAAGAAGTACTGGAACGTTTAAATCATGTTTGTCGTATTCTAAAGTTCGTATTTAACGTAATAAAATTAAAAAAACAACCGATAAAATTTCGTTTGGTAATTATCGAGATATTTGCAAATTACTGTCAGTTTGTCAAGTTTGAACACATGAACGATTGGTATCCGGTCGTTCCGTCCCCAAACCGATCCGGCCCCAAGTCGATCCGGCCCAAAGTCGATCCGGCCCACGTCGATCCGGCCCAAAGTCGATCCGGCCCCATAATAAAATATGAATAAACTATATTGACTTTGGAGGATTTTTAACAGTATAAATTGATTTTGCAAAAAGTATCGATGATGGATGACAACAGGTAAGTGAAGTATTGGTGTACCAGTCAAAGAATTATTTTAAATCGATGCGAAACTGAGTGTGATTGTGTCTGTTTGTAGAGCAGCTTCAACATATTAATATGAAGTTATTTTCCATGATAACTTTGAATGTCATGGCGATTTTTATTTTATTTAATTCACACACAGAATAGCTAAATAAATATTTACAGTCTAATGGAACCTATAAAATTTAACTCATCATATAATGACTTGTTTAATCAAATCATTAATCTATAATTGGTTTGTTTATTCAACAATTGTCTGATGATTGTGAACTAAGGTAATGCCACTCGTAATCACTTAATTCAATCAAATCCTGGTTGATTAAAGTTACGTAATCAGCAAGGTCTTTATAGTTTGATCTTTTTTTTTTTGTGTTATGTGTTATAATAATTAATTGTATTTTTTTTTCAGGTAACATCAGAGGCTTCTATAACACATGTTGTTTTTTTGTAATATCGAATATAGTTAATATATTTTTTTAAAGTTGACAATATTTTGAATAGTTCTGTGTAGATAAAAAAAAAACAAGTTATATGAGTATCCATTATTCTTTATTGCAAGATAATGACAAAATAATTACACTGAATGCACATTTTCACTCTCTAAGCGTTTTGTATCACATAAGTTCTAAACATTTTTAATTCTTTACAATCTATAAATAGATGTTCAAACGTTTCAAGCTGTCTATTACAGTATTTGCATTGTGGATCTATGCCTCTTATTCCTCTATTTGTTTTTCTCCCGTTAATACAGCTCTGTGTATTATTTTTTAAAGAAATTCTCTGTGAATATCATTTTTAATGTCAGCTACTTTTGTCCAAATATTTGTAAATTCTATTTCTTTATTTCTTTTCTTCAAATGCTTAGGGATGTATAGTAGACATTGTTTGCAAACGCATTCTGTCTCCTCTTTTATAGAAAGGATTCGGCAAATCAAACAACATTTCTCGATTTGAGAAGTTTTAAGAACTTAAAACAAAAACAAAGTTGGTATGTATCAGCTTGGGGATCGGCTTGTACCGTTGTGTATGTAACTATTTGTTATTACACAGGATGAAAGACTTGTTAAGATCACAGTCAATTGAAAGAAAATGCTAATTACTGCTGATTAATGTTGATGTCTGTTGATTGTACTAAATTCTGTTATATACGTTTTTAATATAATTATACCCAATAATCTTGAAAACTTGTAATGAAAACATAATCAACCTACTTGTTTTATACTCATCTAAAGAAAATATTTGTCAAAGGCCATTTTTTTTACCGTACACCTTTTACATTATAATAAAATTCATAAACATTTATGAATTACAATTAATATATATCTTTATTTTTATTCCTTATAAGTATATTTTTTTATTGGGGCCGGATCGACTTTAAATATGGGCCGGATCGACGTTGGGCCGGATCGACATGAAACCGAACGATTTAGAATACCCGCCACTACAACTCACTACTTATTTCAAACGGAAGTGACGCACAGTGGACCATATGCGGATATGTAAACAAAAAAACTTCTAGTATCCTAAAGGTGACAACTATCAACTGACATTGTATTTTAGATTATTCATTGACGTTTGCTGGTTTGTTATGTTCTCATAGTAAACAATGGGAAAGGGCTGTGCAGTTGCAGGGTGCAGTAATTCCATCAAAACTGGACATTCTGTACACCTGTTTCCTAAAGATGAACAACAACGTGTCTTGTGGATACGTTTTGTAAAACTGACCCGTGTTGATTTTTCGGAGCCAACTCAAAACTCTGCTATATGTAGTGCTCACTTCTCAGACGACTGCTACGAAGTGGACAGAATCAAATTTAAGGAGTTATTTGGGATGTCCACCAACAAGAGACTTTTACCAAATTCAGTGCCAAGTATTTACCCAAAAAGACCTGCAGACGTGCTCAATGAACCTAAGAAGAAACTAAGAACATCTGTAGCTCTTCAGAAAAGAGAAAGGGTCAAGGTATAATGAGAGCTTGAATATTTTTTTGGCAAAAAGTCTTAAAAATTGCTTTGGTTTATAGCCATGGCAAAAATGTATGATATGCATGGTTTCAATTCCCATTTTACCCTTGTCAATTTTTTTTATGCACCTTTTAAGTCACTAAGTTTCTTCATAGGCTCTATATATGGATCTATGTTCCCCTAATGGAGCTATGTATGATGGTGGTAAAGGAGGGCTCTGAACACGGAAACACGTGAAATAAAAATCACTTAAACGTTGCACTGGAAATAAAAATCTGGAAAAACGAAGCACAAGGAATAAAATCGTAAATATTAAGGAACGAAGTACTAAAAGTTATTACTCAGCCGTTCTTGGAGATCATGCAGTCATTATAAATGGACAGATATACCCTGCGATCAACTTTAAGCGTCCACTAGTTGCATCTGATTTGAAAAAAGAATAATTCATAGGAAGTCTTAATTTGATAACAATTAATTATATAATATCCAGGGAACACATGATTTAAAACAATCTGCGGACTGACTTTGAAATTAGAACCGGGTTTATTTTTTAATAAAATGTCGGACAAGCAAGAAAAATTAAAGAGTACCAACACGAAACACGGAAAATAAATAAGGGGAAACACGAAGCACGCACGTCAAACCAAACACGAGAAAACGAGGAATAAAACGTCAAAACACGAAAATAAATGAAATAAAAAGGCAGAAAACGTTGCACGAAAATAACCCTTTACCACCCTCATATATATATACCAAACATGTAAATTTGTATAAAGTTAATGCATAGACTTTTTACAAGTCCCACTTCTATGAAGAAACCTTATACATTGTACATGCACATGTACATGTACATTCACATGTATAATATTATTTATAATAATGAGATACATGTATCTTTCAAATTATTTTCTAGTTTTTATATTTAGATTTATAACATTTTAGACATTGTTAGATGGCAAGCCAAAGTGGACAAAAAGAGCTATTTTTTAATAGTAACAAATCATTTTCCTATATTAAAAAATTATTTTCTAATATTAAAAATTATTTTCTAATATTAAAAATTCCTTTTCTGATATTAAAGAATCATTTTCAGATATTAAAAATTCCTTTCTTATATTAAAAAAATACTGTATAATATTAGAAAATGACTTTTTAATATCAGAAAATGAATCCTAAATATATACAATGTATAAGAAAATCATTTCTTAATATTAAAAATTGATTTCTTAATATTAAAAATTGATTTCTTAATAATAAAAATTGAATATTAAGAGATGATTTAGTCATTGAAAAGATAATAAACAAGTGCTTAGTCAAAACTCTTAAGCAATGTTGAGTGGTAAAGATTTTAATTTGAAACTAAAAGTTGATTTCTTAAAGGGAAAATTCGTGATTTTTTACTTTTCATCTTATTATGTTCATAATACCATAAAAAACATATTTACCAAGTTTTATCTGGATATGAACACTAATAAAGAAGAAAATTGGGAATTAATAATTTAATTTATTCCAACTTCCTGACTTATGTGACGTAGTTTAAGTCTTTTTGCATGCCGGGAGTGAATAAATCTCATTATAAGTCTTGTGCGTTAATCATCTAATAACGCGATTTAAAGCGCATCGACGACTTTTGGCGTAGCTATTAACCAACTAATAATTAAGAAAGTAAAGTGATCAGCCGTGCAACTTTCAAAATTAAAATGTACGATTTATATTTAAAGGATTTCTGATATGATTATAGTAATAAAAGTAAATCATACAATAGAATATATTTTTATGAATTTTTTTTCCGACGGATATTTTGAACAAACATATATAACTGATTTTGTTTTACAAATGCATGTTTGTATTCTCACCTGAAGGCTTTTACTTCAGTCTAGCAAACATTTCCCACAAGTACTGTGAAAATACAATGTGTATTGTACTGTGACACTTAGTGACTACCTGTTGAATGCGTGGTTAAATTCAAGGTAATTAAAAGATTATCATTCTGTAATTCTATTCTTTTGATCTTCACTCAGTGAATTTTAGCCAACACGGTTCACCGTTACAGGTGTGAACAACATTTCGTATGAATGATAAAACATTAATTATTTGGGGAGGAATATGGTGGCAAAATACCTGAATCGCCGTTATATACATGTATATCTTTTATATTTTGCGTAAGCTTAATTTTAAAATAGAAAGGTGAGTATTTGTTGTAACATCGAAATTCTGAATTACTTTCAATTAAATAATTTTATAAATAAAAATGGCCCACGAAAATGAGCGTATAAACCATACACTGTACTTGCTTTTTCAAATTATCATGGGTATTCACCTTGAATATTTCAATGTTTAGAGAAAATTATCGCGGTTACATGATTAATATAGCTTGGTCCGTCCACAGCGATCTACATTTACCTAATCGGGAATACCCTTATTAAAATATTTAAAATCTCACAACGTATACATACTTTAGCTATTTGACCAACGATGTTTAAAAAAATAACAGAATCAATCTAACGTCAACTTTCTTTTTTTGAATGGAGACAGATCGGCGGAATCAATTTTCAATGTGCTTTATATCTTGTACCTTTGCAAGACTTATCATTCATTCATAAACCCATTATATACCAGAGACATATATGTCAGTCTTAACTGACAAGAAGAATGTAGGACAGAAAGTCACAGGACAAAAAGTCACAATTCAGTTTTAAATTTATTTTTCTTTGAACAAGAAAACACTAATTTTGAAAATATTTTTTGTTGTTTTTTTCTTGAACTATTATATATAAAGCAACTTTGTTATTAACATTTATTCAATAAATATCAATAATGATCAAATAATTGTTATGGAAACAAAATGTCAAAGTGGATTAGTACTTAAATGGCTTCATGGTGCCAAGGAATTATACTTTGCATGATTAAAATTTAATAAATTTTCATTTATCAAGGCTTATGAACAATTTCCTAAACCTAAAAATGGATATATGTAATAAAAAGAAAATATTTCAAGATCTTTCTCTTATATATTCAAACAATTGTCAACAAATTATTTGTGACTTTTTGTCCTATAAAATTTGTGACTTTATATCCTGTGACTTTCTGTCCGTTTACCGACAAGAATACACCTAAAGCGGACAAGCAGTATATTCTTTAAGTTTCTGTGATTTAATACCAAGAAAGAAAAAAATCCCGAAATTAATTTGATACTTTGATACTCAATATTTTTCCTGGAAAATATTCACATCCTCGTTTGGTCTGAAAATAAGATAAGAATTTGGTATAAAGAACATGCAGGAGTGTGAATGTCATAAAACCTTGTTTTATCAGAAACCATTATAAATGTGAACCTGTATACGTAAGACCTCATGGGACGTCACCTAACCACATACATGTAATATACAAGTAGCTCTGTTATACCCGGAAGTGTCAAGGTAAATCACTACCGATACAGAATGTACCAATGCAAAGAAAATTCTGATGATTGTGAAGCATGACCATTCATGATTTTAGAGGAGTCTTAGGTGGAAATTGCCGGTACGATTTAAATTCTGACAGATTTTTTTCTCTCAATTTAAATCACTGAACTTAAAAAAAAAAGAAACCTACGCCCAAGATTAGAGTTCTTCATGTAAATTCATAAATACAACGTTCTTATTTTGTAACTTTCGATATACTTACCTCCAACCACCGCCCCCTCCCAACCTGGGAACAGTATATCTAACATTACAATGTTGGTGTAACTGCCCAAATAAAAAAAAAAAGAAGAAAAAAGAAAGAGATGAACGGTAATTCACATCAGATTCAAATATTCATATGGTTGATTGTCGTTAACTAGAGATGTATAGTTACATGTCTCTGCGTTAACTTATAAGAATGACAGGAAAGTATATACTTGAAATAGATTTATAATGAATAATATGCAACTGCAGCACCCCTTTTTATCAAAGTGTACATGCATGTATTTTAATGACTGTCCGTTATTTCGATTAAGAATGACAATTGTACGTGAAATTCTATAGTTGCCAGATATGCGACTTTTCGTATTTATATTTTCTCTTATATTACTCTCATTTAATATTTTATGCATAAGTGCAATATAAGAATGGTTTATCCCCCTCCCTTTTAATCTAACTAAATAAATTAATCAACCCTCTAGCTGACCAGACGTTAATACATCTACTATCAGTCTATTCGGAGTGAAGTTTCTTTATTTCTTCAAATAAGCTTTTTGGGGATCATTAGTGTACGTCCAGTGGCATATACCGGGGTATATTACATGCAAGTCGGAACAGGAAAATTGACATGAGGTACTACCGGTATAATATAATAGAACCATGTTCACATTATTACATTATTATACATAATACACAACCATTGTGATGATGACGACTTTCTTAAACTGTTCAAAATAATCTAATTGAAATAAAAATCTGTGATTTTACTATGTGCATAACTTCGATGAACTAAAGCAAGTTAGATATCGACCTGTATTTAAATCAGATTGGTTTTGGATGTTTCTCTCGTATATTCAATATACATGTATATATTCTAAATTGCGACTATCTATAGTTCCATAACCTTCTATCTAGGCGTATAATCCAATGATCGACAAGTGCGAACATTTTGTTAAATCAATATTTGTACGTTTCAAAATGTCCATAATTATTGACAACGAGTAATTACTTACATTTTCCCCAATTTACGTTTGGAAATATGTAAATATATTTTTATTTTATCAAATCTTTTTTTGGAATTATTTAGATTTTCATAAATATTCTTTACACCATAAATGTTATTTATAAACAAGCGTATGAGTTTAGTCATATATATATAATGGCTATTATATCTATGGTTTAGTAAAGACTATCATATCACTATCGGACACGCAAGACAAAGATGTATATTCACCTGATAGTTTCAAAATGGAAGGTTACAAGTTATCGGCCGTGTACACTTCTCAATACCCTCAGAAGTGAAGTGATGCACGAACTTGCTTTATGTAATTGTGTA